CACTCTGGAATCGTGACTCCAATTCAAGCTTCGTTTCATACCTCAATCTGTTCAATACCATTTGGTTGATCTAAGCTTACTTGAGCATGTAACTGTTGGCTGCCCAACAGGTACTGGTAACCCTCGATGTCGCTAAAGTCTGCTGCCTCTAAAGATAGGAGATCTCAGCTCGGTATTAGACTAAACATTAGGTATTCTATTCTCTAGGGTATTCTCATAGCGCTCTTAGTCACATCATTGGAGTCGTGCTTTCTCTGTCTGTCCTTGAGAGGGTTGGTCGTCTGGTGAAGAGAACTAGAATAGGGTTATGCATAGCGGGTATTTGAGTACTGTACCTTAGCATCATATAGTGTGATGAGCGTATTCCTCTCGCGCCTCAATCAATGCCCAAGTTACAATGAGCTACTTCTGTAAGGTATAACCATTTTTTTCTCACGTTTCTGATCGTCTGTGAGACTCGTGATACCTACTGGTGACAAACTCTACACAATCCCTCGGTTTGCCTCTGAACCTGCCCCACTACCACCCAGAATTTGGGGGTGGGGTCGGGACGGACGCGCCAACGCGTTGACGCGTTAAGTGTCCTGCTTGCCTTTCCCTGTCAACCATCCACCTTCAAGATCGAGCGCGAAAGATACCCCTAGATCTCAGTCCCTATTTCTCGCCCCGTTCTACCATTGAGACAGACGAGACACACCTCAACATGACAGTACCCGAGAACGATTCGGCCGCTCCGGCCCCCCCTGCGCCAACCCTAACTGCCTCCCCCACCGAGCCCCGACATGAAGAATACGAGTATCTCGACCTCGTCCGCGAAATTCTCGATTCAGGGGAGCTGCGCCAAGACAGGTAACCCGCACTTTGTGTCCTTCTTCCGCCCACCCGCTAATCACTTCACCGAAAATCTAGGACTGGTACCGGCACCTACTCCATCTTCGCCCCCCGTCCCCTCAAATTCTCCCTCAATCGCGATGGCACACCGATCCTCCCCCTCCTCACCACCAAACGCGTCTTCACCAAAGCCGTCATTGCCGAGCTGCTGTGGTTCATCTCAGGCGACACGTCTTCTCACACCCTCTCCTCCCAAGGCGTCAAGATCTGGGACGGCAACGGCTCGCGCGAGTTTCTCAACAGCCTGGGCCTGACAGACCGCGAGGTGGGCGACCTCGGCCCCGTCTACGGCTTCCAATGGCGGCACTTTGGCGCGCGGTACGTCGACGCCAAGACAGACTACACGGGCCAGGGCGTGGATCAGCTGGCGCGCATCGTGCACACGCTGCGGACCAACCCGTACGACCGCCGGCTGATCCTCAGCGCCTGGAACCCGACCGACTTGCCGCGCATGGTGCTTCCGCCGTGCCACATGTTTGCGCAGTTCTACGTCTCCTACCCGGGGTCACGCACAACCAAACCAGCAATCAGCAACAACAAACCTCAAGGCCACCTCCACTGCCAGCTCTACCAGCGCTCCTGCGACATGGGCCTGGGCGTGCCCTTCAACATCGCCAGCTACGCACTACTAACCCACATGCTGGCGCACGTGTGCGGGCTGGTGCCGGGGAGCCTGACACATGTCATGGGCGACGCGCACGTGTACCTGAACCACGTCGAGGCGCTGCGGACGCAGCTCGAGCGGGAGCCGCGCGACTTCCCCGAACTCGAGCTCGCGCGGCCTGCCCCGCCCGGGGAGGATACCATTGACGGGTGGAAGCCGGAAGAGTTTATAATCAAGGGATATAATCCGCATAAGGGGATTGTTATGGAGATGTCGGTATGATGAAGGGGGTGGTCGGAGTGTGGGAGGTTCGGCTCTGGATAGACTAATTGGATCAGTTGAGTTTCGGTTTCCAGGTTGGGCGGGATTTATCATTACATCCTGGATATCTAGCTCTTAGAGAGCAGGTATGATAGAGAATTTGTGGTGAGTAACCGAGATGTAATAAAGCAACCAGTCGCCTCATTGATTCTTGTTCCGACACAACTGTCGCAGGCTTATTGTGCAAGACTTGAAAAACTTCTGCCTCTGTTTAGCCTTTCTTAGACCTGAAAGGCCAACTTAGGACTGCTTTCCCCGTAGCACTGGTTGATCTTCCGTTACAGAGACTCTTCCCATCAAAACCTTCAACGCCAGCATGTCTCTCTACATCACAAGATGTCAATATCAAGGAACCCGACAGCACGGTGAGGCACGTGCATGGTGCTGAGACGAACGAGACACATTTCTTGTTACTGATTCTCAGTCTATGTCTGGATGGCTGTCTAAAGCAAGGCAGTCTCCAGGCATCAACTCTTGTGCTCCAGGAAGAACTCCTCTGTCTCTAGCCTTGGTGGCCGTAACAAACCGTCATCTCATCTCCTACCACACCATTTTCAGAGCCAAATGCGAACACCTCTTACGCACCGCAGAAACATCCCATGGTATCGACCTTATACCTGCAAGTGAAATAGCAGTATGGAAATGATAGCAGCATGAAACGCACCATATTCCATACGTCACCTCAGGCGGCCGGCCTGGGGTGGACAGGGAGTTCCTTGACGTCCTTGGTCTGGGTGAAATGTCTGGGCAGGCAGTTCTCACCATCGGCGTAGGGGAACCCAGCCTCCTCGCGAGCCATGTCGTTGACCCACTTCTCGTTCCCCTTCAGGCCGCCCTTGCCGTGCTTCTCAACACCCACCTCGTTCCACTTGGCCGCGAGGTAGAACCATGCCAGCGCGTTGCCAACGGTGCCAACCTCGTCCGAGACACCAGTGCGCGCGGCGTGGCTCATGCGTTTCCAGAGCTCGTTGTCAGTAAAGAGGTCGATGAGGTGACCGGCAACAGCCTTCCAGTCGCCTGGGTTCACGAGGAAACCATTGACCTTGTCCTTGACCTGAAGAGGGATTCCGCCGGTCGCAGAAACGATGACGGGGCGACCGGCATGGAGAGCCTCAGAGACCTTGACCTCAAAGCCCTCGCGAGTGGAGAGCTGGAGAACGACGTGGGCATTGGCAAGGAGCGTGTTGATGAGCTGGTCATTGGGATCCAGGCGCATCACGCTGACATCCTTAATGAGATCAGGGTAGTACGTCTCGAGTTGGGACATGGTCTGGTCATAGATCAAGCTGGCATCCGGGTCGTCAACCGAGCCATTGCCGCAAACCACCAGCTGCGGCACATCGGCAATATTTGCCTTCTCGCACCGGCGGCGGAACTCGGCGTACGAGTCAATCACAGTAGGAATACCCTTGGATGGGTCGAAGCGGGCGACCTGGATGATGTACTTGCGGGCGGGCCAGTTCAGTTCCGTCCTACAACGGTCAGCATCGGTCCGGTAATGGCAAGTGATGAGTGAGACAAGACTTACATGCGCTGAGTATGGCAGGCGACGTTATAGAGATTGCCATAGTAGCCAGAGTCCCACTGGTTGAGAGGCTTGTTGAGACCGTCAAGCCAATCGGTAGTCGCCGGAAGATAGACGACCTTCTCACGGGGAACGGTGTGGGGGACGAAGATAGGAATCGGGTGGCTGATGAACATGTCACACCCTTGAATGTTGCTCCAGAGGAAGTCCCAAATGTCGGCCTGTGGCGTGCCAGCCTTGGCAACGAGGTCGCTCCGAATCTGAATGTGGGATCGGTACAGAACTGGGCGGTTCGGCGTGGTCTTCTTGATCAGGGGGATCAGGCCCGGCATTTGCGGGTCATCAATCTAAGCCTGTCAGCATGCATTGTCATGACAAGCGGTGTCGAACCCTCCCCCACGCGTGTGCGGCGTCACCCCCGGTCATGTGCCAGGACGTGCAGCAGCCTTGCAGCTGATGCGTACATAAAGGAGGGGTGAGGTACTGCAGGGGTATGCCCGAGCACCGGTGAACGAAAGTTCTACTCACAATGACAACATCAGCACCACCTTCCTCGGGGGTGCGCAGCGGCCCGCCCTCGGAAAACCAGTAACGGTTCGCGTTGTCAGTGATCCAGTCGATGATGGCCTGCTTCTCCTCGGCCGAGATGCGTTGGTCCGGATGGCTGACGCCTTGAAGAATGTTGTGGATGTTCTTGGTGATACGGAACACGCCAGGCCGAGGCTTGGGCACTACACAGGTGTTACTGCGTGAAATTCCGCTGCCGAGGAGTCGAGTTGCACTTACCATACCAAGTCAAGTCGACGCCCATCAACCGAGCAAAACGCACCAATGCATGGCGCATCAGAGCAACACCACCACCCTGAGGGGTCGAGCTGAAAAAGGCGATCTTTGTCTTGTTGCCCCTGAGCTTCTTGGCATAGGTCAACATGGTCTCCCAGGTGGCACTGCCGCAGGTGTCCTTATGGTTCTGGACCGTGGTCAAGTGGGCACGGAAGCCAGCATCCGTCTGAACGACGCCTCGCCAGCCGACCTGGAGAAGAGGGACGAGCGAAGGACCAAAGTTCCTGTCCCATTCGTTAGTGAAGGTACCAGCTGTCCGTACCAGGTTCCCAACTTACATGATGCACTTCCGTGCCATTGAATCGGCCTGCTCATCGACGCGCTTAACATCCCAGAAAGACTTCTCCTTGTGCTCGTCATCAGGGCGCATGACAATCGGCACAATGTCCAGCTCGAGCCAAAGGCGGGAGCACAGAGTGGGACTCATGTACTTGAGCGTCGTGGGAAGCCCAGCGCCGATAAACTTGGAGAAATTTTCGTGCTCGTACTTCTCGACCTCAGAGATAACGTAGTCCGCGATCAGGTCGGCGCCCATCTTCATGGCGTCGTCCAGTATGATGTGCTTGACTGAGTAGTCCACCAGGTAGACAGTATCGTGGATGGCCAAGGCCACAACAGCCGTGTGGTCATCGGAGAAGACAGCCGAAATGCCCAAATAGAGCGTCTTCAAACTTGGTTAGCATATCGGTCCCAAAATAAATAGACAAATGGACGCGGTTCCGTGAGTGTAAGAGCCCGAGAGCGGAATCGGCCAGTCTACGCGCAGACGCTCGCAAGGAAGCGCCTAGCAATGCGAACAGGCTTCATTCACCTCGCCGAACACCAGAACCATACAGGTAAGTGAGACCCCCGGCCTGGAAATGTTGGGAGTGACCGATTGGTCAACGGAGACCGACTGGTCCCAACAAGGCCATGAAATCGATGGCACTAGGGGATAACATACCGTCAGATGGGGACCGAACTGACCCTCCTTCTCGGTCACGGTGCTCATCTGCCGCTTGCGGTGCACCGAAGTGCCCGTTGAAAACTTGCGGCCCTTCTCGAAAGCCATGACTGCTTGAACAAAGGGACGAATGCTCTTTGGATGGAGTTGATGTGGGTGGTCTATGGGAGTCGCGACACCGATGCTAGGTGCTGATGATGGTTCGGGACTGGCAAGTGACCGAACGGGACCGCGATCGATAATCTGTAGAGTTGGAGTACGCCCGGCGATGGAGGAAGCTGCGCTTATAGCTCCCGCCGTTGGCGCCGTAGATGTAGAAGCCGCGGGTGGGTCTGTGGGAGTGGGGTGAAGTGGTGGTTCTGACGAGGAAGCTTGCGTTCCGGGAAGCTGCCGCGGTTGGGATGCCACGGGGCCTGCATCTAAAAGTTCAGAATGGCTGCTTGGGGGGTGGCATTGGTCTGCTTCAGGGCGGTGACGCAGCTCGCCTTGGGCGGCCTGCAGCTGGGGAGGTGGGGTAGCATCTCCGTGACCTCCCTTGGGCTGCTCCTGCCCGTGCTGCCCGGGGCTGTGAGCACCGTCTTCCGACCGGTCGGTCATGACGAGACTTGGCAATTTCCGCTTTCTCCGTGTTACTATAACCAAAACTGTCAATGCCTCAATCCGATATCGTGGGGAGCACCAGGTACCATTGACGGGTAGGTATTGCACATTCGCCCCTTTCTGGTGGCACTCCAGGTAGCACACACCGTGTCCCCCCGCGCTGTGATACCGGTATGTCCTCATTCACCTGCAGCGTACAAAGCAAGCCGTGGTTCAAGGAGAGGGACCCGACATCTTGTCATGCTGCATGCCGACAGCGGGTTCGAGAGGTATTGGACGACGAATGCCACGTCCACGGCTCGTCGCCGCTGCTGCCCTGTCTATCTCGCATGGCATGCGGGCAACAAAGTCGGTGTGTGTCCAACCATCAAACCAAAATGCACAAACTGTGGTCCGGACTCATTCCGACAGCAGGGACCCCGGCGGATGTGATAGGTTTGGAAAGGAGGGGCATATCTGGAACTATTGACCCTAAGACAGAAAGGGATGAGGTGAATTGTAGACTTACCGGCTCAGTACTCTTCACGGCTGGCGGTGAGGACTTCAGAGTAACCAAGTGTGATGGCCAGACGGAGGCGTTCTTGGTTCTGGTAGGTGTCAATGAGTCGGGATCTCCGGGCGGTTGACTGGCAGGTGGGCGTCTTCCGCTTCTTGGCACGTACTCGGGTAACGTTCTTTCACGCTGGAAAATGGTGACTTGCGTAGGGCAACTCTGGACAGAGCTTCACTCAGAATTTGGTGTCAGAGGCAGAATTGGGTTATTTAGGTAGACTAAGGTATTACCGTTGCTGCCAAGGTCAAGATCCTAACTCTGAGCTTGGGATGGTGATGTCAATGTCAGAGACGATCCACAGCAGTGTTGTGTCGTTGTACTTTTGGTGGGGTAGCGGCTGGAATGGGCCTGGCTTGAACGGTACGATGTGGGGATACTCGGAATGGTGGGGTGAAGAGACGACAGCTCCGAGCGTAGAGTTTGAAGTGATGGACTTGCGAAATGAAAATGCAAAATCTGGAGATTAGAGGCTAGATTGAGTATAATATGTACTGGCAGGTACGGACGAGGCAGCATGCTGGAAGAGATCTGTCTGCATCTGCACTTTGACCGCGAGCAGGTACTTGGGATCATCTGATCAGATGGGCCGACCGGACACGCCACACCGGAACGTAATTGACCTCGCCAGGGTGCAGCTGGGATACGTAGTAGTCCACGGTGACCTTGGACATGAGTTTCTTTGAACTTCCTCCTGGTGCTGGGGGTGTTCAGTCAACATTGGTTTTCGAGTCCCCGAGCATTCCCAAACAGTCCAAGCGGACACACATCATGATGCCTCGATACAACCCTCAAATTTTGCCAAACGATACAAAACCTCGGACAAAACTCAAAGTATATGCGGGAACACCATAAGGAACTCTTCGCTATCACTTCCGTGTCGAGAGAAAGCTCTTTCTCAGCCCACCTTTTGACCCTCTGGACCTCACTCGGTTTCGAGATTGTGGGGTGAGATGACTCCACCAACCATGTGTCATTCAAGGCGGGCCCCCAAACTGCCCGGACGGCCCGGCTGGTAGCGCGGTGGAGCGGCAGAAATTGCCGGGCCGGGACTCGGTCACAATGGGTACACTCTCGAGTTCGAGCATGTGTCGCCGGACTAGGGGTGGATATTGTGGGATTGACCTTGCGAACCTGCTTAGCTGAGGTGTATTAGATCAAGCGGCTGATAGATTGGGCATCGAGCTGAGGACCTTCTCTGCGCTGCATGTGGCATTTGGCCGGTATCAAGTGCCAATCTCGGCGCGCTGCTTGAGAAAGAGCTTTGCCAAGAGACTTTTCAGTCTTGCAAGACAAGTCTTCCATTGCGAAACCGACATAATCGAACGTTCCCCTAAGAAAACTCGATCGATATAACGACGGCATTTGCTCTCTCGGTAGCTGGCAAATACCAGGCAATAAATAGGGGTTCTCCTTGTTGGCAGTTGGCAGGAAGACATTAATCGGGATACTCGCATACAATCGAGCAACCCTCAGCTCTGCAAAACGGACGGGAATGGTTTCAAGGCCTCCGGAGCCTGCTCTTTCGAGTTCAATGGTTGAGCTAAGTTTGACGCGCAGTAGTTGCAAGGTCTGAATTCAGCTTGGGGATGACGTGCTCCGTGTTGGATCGATGCTTTTCCTTGATTATCGGACGGATGCTTCAAGTAAGCAGTTATCTCAGATCTGTTAAACAACTCAGGTCATAAAACAGCATTGCCAGACCGACCTTGCCATACTGACCATCTCACAATAAACATTGTACAAATATCACAGGGCCCCTAATCCTTCCTCGCCCAACCGACTGCGACTCAAGACTTCTCAAAGCGTGCGGCCACTGTCTTCCAGTTGATGACGTTCCAGATGGCTTCAAAGTACTCGGCCTTGCGATTCTCGTACTGCAAGTAGTAGGCATGCTCCCAAGCGTCGATGCCCACCAGCGGCACGTACGGGCCCGTGACGGGGTCCTGATTGGCACGGGTCACCAGGTTCAGGGTGCCCGCCGACTTGTCCTTGACCAGCCACGCCCAGCCGCTGCCCTGGATGCCCGCCAGCGCCGTGTTCATCTGCTTGCGGAATGTGTCGAAGGAGCCAAAGTCCGAGTCGATGGCTTTCTGTTTGCGACGTATTAGCAACGGGGTCGCTGAATGGAGGACCGATTCCGGATCGCAAAAACGCACCTTGAGGGCGCCATCAGGCTCGCCGCCGCCCTCTCGGCTGGCAGGGGCCAGGTTCTCCCAGAAGAGGCTGTGGTTGATGTGACCGCCGCCGTGGAAGTTGAGGAGGGGCGCAACGGACGCGGCCTTGCTGAGGTCACCCTTGCCCTCGGCCTCGGCGATAGTCTCGAGCGCGCTGTTGAGGCCGTTGACGTAGGTCTGGTGGTGTTTCTTGTGATGCAGCTCCATGATCTTGCCCGAGATGTACGGCTCGAGAGCGCCATAATCGTCTGCCGTGTGCGGTCAGTTGGTGTCCAAGTTCGGCCGGCACTGGTGCTTCTCGAGTGGCTGGAGGCGTGTCATCCATGGAGCACTTACACGGTAGGTCCGGAAGGGTAGCCTTTCCGCGCACGAAGCTGGCGCTGGACAGGGCACCGGTGGCCTTCAAAGCTCCGGAAGCTCGGAGAGCTCCCCGCAGAGCAGGAGTGGTGCGGAGGAGAGTCGAAGACATGATGTCGTTGGCGTTCGGTATGCTAGCACGTCAATTAGATTCGCAAGAAGTAAGCAATAGGTTGTTGCTCCGGAATGGGTTGTGTTGCGCCCGATTTACCAACTCTTGAAAAGAGTTCCAAAGCTGCTCGGCGATTTGATCGAAGCTCGGTCGAAGCATCGGCAACTTCACCATTTCGTCATTGCCCCACATCTTGGAGAGCCAGGGTGTTGTGGCTTATTCCCGTGGCTTAAGGGAGGAGCCACAGGCAATTCTCGAATTCACGCCCTTGGCTTGTGTTGACGGTGATAACACCTGAGCGTTGCGTATCAGGTGGGTGATACATCTTGTCTTGATTTTCTTGGGGGTTTATTTTCCATCTAATTGAGATTTGGTCAAGCCATCCTGCGCAATGTCTTACTACGACATTGATTCTATCCTCACTGACGCAGAGGTAGGCGTTGCAAGGCGCGGGACAAAGCCCATTTATCATCGTGAAGACGCATTCTGACTTAACGCTTTCATCTGCAGAAAATCCCCTGCACGTTTCAACTCGACATTCCTGACCTAGGCTACCTCGATAACACGCCTACACAACCGCTTAAGGCCGGCACCAAGGTCAACCTTCCCCTCTGGCTCGCCGAAATGCTCGCCATTGCCAACGCGAGTGACACCGAGGGCAAACCTTTCGTGACCTTCGACCTGCCGCCAGCGCTGGGCAACGATGTTGTGCAGGCGCTGAAAGCCGACCCCCGTGCTGTGCCACTACGCGATCAGAGCGCCCACTTCTACGGCCTGGCGACACAAATGATGGAGCTATCTGAGGAGCAAGAATTGGCGGCGATCCTGCGAAAGACCTTCGTCATTCGTGCATCTGAGGTCGCGCTATATGCCCGAAAAGTCGGCGGAGTCGGTCACAAAGGCAAAGGAGGCGCGGACGAGGGAAGCAACCTAGGTGTTGGCGGTGCCGGCGAGGATTTCCTGAGAGCACTGGATGAGTGGGAAAGGAGTCTATTCCGCAAGGCGCATGACGGCACAAAGTCTGGGAAGGAGTGGATGGAGGGCATTAAGAAGCATTGAGGACCCCGCGATGCCCTCAACCCATCATGAAACCAGAGGGCGAGAATAGCTGGGCCGCTGCTGATGGAGCCTGCCGCTCAGCGCGCGATCGGGTTGCCAACCAAATCACGGCGCTATGGCATAACTCAACAAGTTGGGAAGATCGCCTCTCTCGGGGGCCGCGGACTAGCTACACATAACAGACGAGGAGCCGAGCCGGTGATACCCGTCATTGCGCGCACACAACTCGAAGTCCGCGCCAGAAACACAGCACAAACTCTCAATCCCCGGGACATCGAAAGCCATCTTGCCGCCTAGCAACCCGCGGATTTTGGTTTCGGCCTCTCGATTTCTCACAGGTCGCGTTGACTCACCCCGCGCCACCATGGTCTCCCGCGAGACCCACCTACTTAGGGTTGCATGCTGGACGCGGGATGCCCCTCTGCATTGCTTTTCCCCAACAAAATGAGAGGCGATATGGTTGACCAAGACATTGTGTTACGCATTACTCGTCCTCTTTAACAACACCAACTGGTATCGGGGACTCAACTGTGGTCACGCCACAATTTCTCCGCAATGAGAGCTGTTCTCCGGACTGTCCTGCGGACCGCTCCCGTCCAGCTGGCCTCCTCGGCCGGCCTCGGCTTCTCCGTGGCACGCATGTCAACAGTTGTCGCCGATCGGGTTGTTCCGTCACCAGCATCCCCTCCCCCACCCCCGCCTCTGCCACAGCAATCGCAACACCAAACTGCATCCCAAGTGCATGATGCTGAACGCCGGCACAGAGCAGCACGAATTTTGCGCGATGCAGTTGCGGCGGAGGGTCCAAGACATAACTGGACCAGGGAAGAGATCTCGGCCATCTTCTACCAACCTCTGATGGAACTGGCCTATCAAGCTGTGAGCTTTTCGACCTCCCGGCAGAAGCTCAACCTTCAATTTTAGACAAACTGACCGTTCTTCAGGCCAGCGTACACCGTCGATTTCACAACCCCGCGGAGGTCCAGCTCTGCACGTTGATGAACATCAAGACCGGCGGCTGCACCGAGGACTGCTCGTACTGCGCCCAGTCCACCCGCTACCAGAAAGGCACCGGTCTCGAGGCCAAGCGCGTGGAAACTGTCGAGTCCGTTCTGGAAGCCGCCCGCATCGCCAAGGAAAATGGCAGCACTCGGTTCTGCATGGGCGCGGCCTGGCGCGACATGCGCGGCCGCAAGAACAGCCTGCGCAATATCAAGGAGATGGTCTCTGGCGTGCGGGCCATGGGCATGGAAGTCTGCGTCACGCTGGGCATGATCGACGAGGAGCAGGCAAAGGAGTTGAAGGAGGCCGGCCTGACGGCTTACAACCACAACGTTGACACCAGCCGCGAGTTCTACCCCAGCATCATCTCGACCCGCACCTACGACGAACGGCTCAAGACGCTCGGCCACGTCCGCGACGCCGGCATCAACGTTTGCTCCGGCGGCATCTTGGGCCTGGGCGAGACGTCTGAGGACCGCATCGGACTGCTCCACACGGTCGCTACCCTGCCGAGCCACCCTGAGAGCTTCCCGGTCAACGCGCTGGTGCCGATCAAGGGGACGCCGCTGGGGGACCGCAAGCCGATTGAGTTTTCGAGCATGCTGCGCACCATTGCTGCGGCGCGGATCATCATGCCGGCCACGATCATCCGCATTGCGGCGGGGAGGAAGACTATGTCTGAGGAGCAGCAAGCTCTGTGCTTCATGGCGGGCGCGAATGCCATCTTTACGGGTGAGAAGATGTTGACAACTGAGTGCAATGGGTGGGATGAGGATGCGGCAATGTTCGGGCGCTGGGGCTTGCAGCCGATGAAGAGCTTCCAGAAGTCGCCTGTATCGGCGGGTGATGTCGCTGCCAGTCAGGCTTGACGACCAGGATGTGCAGAAATAAAATTGACTACCATTTTTGTTTGATAGACTGTTTGCTGCTGCTGCCTTTGCCGTTCTCAATTAGGCCCATCCTCTGATCACCGGCGCCCTCTTCATGACCACGGGAACCCTGGGCCAAGAAAGGACATGCTGAGAGACCCCCTGATTGTTATCAATGGTTTGTTGCATTAAGATAGCGGAGGACGAGCAGTGTTCAATGAGGATTGTTTCCATAAGATACTCAGGATGAGAATACCTCTAGGTAACGTGGTAACTTACAGCTCAATCGCCCCCCTCATTTCCGTATTGTGGGGCTACACCAGGGCAGTTGGGAGACTCGTCATTCAGCGGGTCTGAATCTGAACTCGTCATTTGTAGAAAAGGGCGGTGGAGAGCAATATTGAAGACCTGCAAGTGACAGTCTAAGCGATGTAGAAGCCTTCTTCGGCGGTCTTGCAAGTTGGACATGCGAACCATGACAACACGCTGGGCGGCAAGATCCGGACCGTATCAATTCCGTCACATGACAGAAGCCTGTCACACCTGACACATCGGCTGCGGGTCTCGAATCCAGACTTCTTGGAAGCATCGGTGGATCTCGATCAAAGTTGCCGCGCTCGCTTGGCGTTGGACAGGCGTTGTCAGGAGAATGCCGAACCCTGGTTTGACATCTCGAATTTCCGTCTGGCAACGTCACTCCCGCCCGGAAGAGAGTTCAGGTTTCGACCGTCCGCTCGTTACTCGAACCACACGCACTTTCTTTCGAATGTTACGGCCACATAATAACGGCTGATACCGTTCTCCCGATCGCCATCGCGGCCAACACGAGGTTACCCAACCCCTCTCAGCTGGTCGCCGCTGATCGTCAAGATGAACGGCCTTACAGTAGCCGGGGCCAAGTATCGGCGCCTTGTCACTCGACAGACTCTCTTCATCGCGCTTTCAGTGTGTACTATCTGGTTTTTCGGTATGCAGTTTCGCAGCGACATCTCGCAGCGCTGGTCAGGGACAGGAGAGCAGCTCCCGGAGGTGGAAGACGAGCGGCCAGATCTGCGGACACCACCCAAGCGCATGCCGACGCACAATATCCTGCCGCCGCTTTCTGAGCGCGTGCTCTGCCATGGGCCCCGCGGCCATCTTCTGGGGAAAAGCCGCGACGACGACCTGGAGGAGAGGGAGCTCGACGGCCGTAAGCGATGATGTGCCCCTTCTAACATGTGAATTGCGCATGCTGACGTGGGGATCTCACAGCCTACCCGACGCCCTGGGCCGGCAACTACGAGGAAACAGGCCTTGACCTGACCATGATGAACGTCGACCAGCGATATGGGCCCTATGGATTTGGCGAGGATAAGGACGACTACGGCAGGAAAAAGGTGGACTGGGACAGTGTTGATTGGGGCCAGCTGCAGAACGACTGCTTCGAACGCAACCGACACCGCTTTCCCGCGTCGGCGGTTCGATTTGACGACGCACGCACGACCAAACTCCGCCTTTCCCTTCGCGATGTCGCTAAGATTCCCGAGATCCGCCACTGGCACGAGTTTGAACCGTCGAGGCGAACGGCCATTGTGGTGCGCACGTGGCGCGGATACCAATACATGCCCGAGGACATGTACTATCTCCGCTCGCTGATTGCCGAGACATCGCTAAAGAGTGGCGCCGAGTACCAAGTTATCCTCCTGGTGGACATGAAGGACTCGGAAGGGTACGACAACGATATCTTCTCTTCTGAGGAGGCGTACAAGAAGGGACTCGAGGACGCTGGCGTCCCTCCCGAGCTCCAATCGATAGCACTGCTGTGGAACGTCCATTTGCTAGACAGCTGGTACCCCTTGATACAGGAGCACAGGTAAGCCGTTCTCCTGACCCTGTAGGGTTGCCCATCGCTCACGATCCACCCAGGACTATGTGGCAAGTGTTCCAGCCCATCCAGCTCCTAGCCCTCCATTACCCCGAATTCGACCACTTCTGGCAGCTCGAGATGGACGTGCGCTTCATGGGCGACGCGGGCAAGTTCCTCGACCGGCTGACGGCCACGGCGCGCAACGAGCCGCGCAAGCAGGCTCTTGAACGATCCAGCTTCTGGCACATGATTGCTGAGACGGGCGACTACGGCGAGTTCTTCCGCGCCGTGGATATGGCGAACCGCGGTGGTTCGCATGCGTGGGGTCCCGTGCACGTGCGCGAGATCCTGCCCATCGGGCCCGAGCCGCCCGTACGTGACCCGCGCAACGACACGTTCCAGTGGGGCGTCGGCGAGGAAGCCGATGTCATCACCACGTCGTACTGCATGGACGCCAACAAGCCCACCCAGTGGGTTTTCCGCGAGTGGATCCACGGCTTCGAGACGGGCCTGCAGACCCCGCGCTTCTACTGCCCGCCCGCCATCCAGCGCGCCTCCCGCTCCCTGTTGCTGGTCATCCACCAGGCCCAACTCGAGAGCGGCATCCGCGTGCCGTCCGAGGCCACGCTGCCCAGTTTCGCCCTCTGGCATGGCCTGAAGCTGAGCTTCCCGCAGCACCCTGTTTTCCACCAGGATCAGAACAACGTCGGGGAACGCCGCAAGTGGTGGCGTGGGGGCCCGAAGGCGAGTTCCACCGGCCTGGGCCACGACGACTCGGATCACCCGAGGGGTGTCGGGCTCACATTCTGGTGGGAGTCGGACTGGGCCAAGCATGTGTTTTATGAGTGGATGGAGAAGAAGCTGGACGAGGACCAACCGCGGCCGTGGATCCTGAACGATTGGGATGGGAAGCTGTTTGTGCCAAATATTGTTCTGCATCCCGTCAAGCATCCGTAATGCTGCCCGGGAATGGGGTGAAGAGGATGTTTTGGGAGTCTTTCTTCTACACTGAAACCACGCAGTGAACTTGCACAACGCAGCGAAGCACAGCAACATTTGCGTTGCGAACCATTATCTACAGCGGTCATATCATTGGAGAGGTGTTACGGAGCTGGGATTGCTTTTCTGCTTTCTGGTACTCTCTTTAGGGCTGACCATCCTTATGTCATTGTTATCAATGTTTGGCGAGGTCAAGCGGATGTACGGGTATCCCACCGTTCTTTTGTTCCTGTACATAGTTAGGTAAGACATATAGTAGAAAGCAAGATTGGCCGAGCTGCTCTTGAGACACAGATGACTGCGACTCGGATCATCATCCCGGATCTCCGAGCAGCAGGTATGACAGGTGTCTCCCATATCCTTGCGTAAGCTAGCCGCGCCACGTTTCAGAAGGAAGATCTTGCCCTGGTACGTTTTCTTCTGTGGGCTTTGCTACCAGTCCCTCAATATCTTGGACCGACGCCGCGCCAGGCGCGGAGAACCAGTGACGGACGTGAACTGCTAGACCGGTCTTCAACTAAAAGGAGAGTCTAAAAAAAAGATATCACTATAACTCTGGGACGCCGTCACTGTACGACTCGGACTGTTTCGAGTGGTGGACACGATGGCATCCCTTCCCTGACGGTCAGTTGCTGTACAGGAGGGAAACGGTTTGCTGCCAGCAGAGGTTGACGGTGTCACAAACGGGTATCACAGGTCACAGCCAGGCTACAGACGACGTCTTTCCCATTCCCGTCCCTCAACGCTTGTATATGCACTTAACTAGCATGAGAGGGTGCTTTTCCAACTGATTCCGCTAACGGAACGCTAGCCATTGCGACCCTCTGCGTCTGCATCAGCCAAGCAGGTCAAGACCTCTGAGTCACAACCAGTTGCTGATGACCCACGATCCGCTGTGTCCAATGCCTCGAGGGCGCTCAGGACATGGGCGACCCTTCCTTCTCCATATCTGAGACGACTCCATTACCACCGATTGTGTCGATGACCTCCTCGAGCACCTTGCTCAGTGTGTGCGCTTGGCCTTCCTTGTCTCCATCTTCTTGATCGACGCGACCAGCTGAACCCGGAGTTTCTTGGCCTCCTTAACATTAACATAATTGATCTCAGCAATCACTATCATGTATTGCTCGTAGGCCCAGGCGTATTTATATCTGGCCACCTTCAACCCTGTCTCGGCGCCGAGGTCTTCGAGAGCTGAACCTTGGTCAGGCCGCAGATCGAGAGTGTGTCTGTTTTTGCAGCGAAGGTTGAAGTTGTGCGTGTTGACTGGAGATTGGTGAGAATCTCCCTGGCAAGAGAGATGAATTCTTCTGCCAGTAGAATGCCAGATGGAAGCTTGGAAAGGGTTCCAACTAATAGGTAAGCTAGGATGGGTTTATTGAGATTGTTCGAAGAAACCTTTCCCTCCAAGAAAGTTGCAAGTCATTCCGTGGTTTTGCACAGGAAAGGAGTGCCAGTTTAATCCATGCAAAAACGCGCTTCTTAGTTCTAAGAGGAATGCTACAGAATTCCAACTTTTGACAGCCACAGTGTTCTGGCAGAGGGCCAAGCGGTTCGAGAATTGGCAGTGGCTGCTCCCGTCCTTAGCCAGTCGTCCATCCTTCAACCACCCGAGTTATCCACCTTAGAGTAGAACCTTCCCCATCTCTTGCAATAGCCCAAGCATCTCCTTTTGAGAATTGCAACGGTGTCCTCGAGGTTCGAGCAATGCTCATTGACTGCCGTCATGCCCCGAGCTACCCTTGGATGCAGGTGGTAAGCCAGGGCACAGCATTACGGTCTTCTAGTTTTTCAGGTCGAGCGCCGTAGCATCTTCGTCGGGTTCTCGGCCACACTCAGTCGTAGAGGTGTGTCCGAAGAGGTCAGGGAAATCCTTGCCCAGTGCTTTCAAACCTGGCGCCTTCCCAGTCAACAAGCATTCAAAGGTCCATGGAAGGAAAACATGTACGCACTGCGGTTGACCATGTCTGACACTTCGGCGGCAGTCATGCCCGTGTGGAACAAGACCCGCATGGCGTTCTGGATGACGAACTGAAACCAAAGTGTCAATGTTGGTGGAGGAGCCCAGAGCTGGAACCGATCGAACCTGTGCATCCAGCTGAATCTCAAAAGCTTTCCCCCTCCAGGTTTCCGTTGGCGCAGTGTTGCTAGTCATGGCCAGAACAGTGGATGGTCGACAAAATATCACTAAAAGTGCGGTGGGCTGTGTAATGCTTAGGAAGTCTGCTCTCGTCGGTCGGCTAATTTGTTGTTGTGGTGATGGTGCGAGAAAGGATACGGAAGTGGGAATGCTTGCAGGTGTTGGCACACGTCAGTCACGGCCAAGGCATCAATCCCCCAGGACCCAAAACGAAATAACTAAGACGTTGAACTGTGGAAACCACGGTAATGGATTCCAGGTTCTGGTGCTTGTGGAAGCTGGACTTCGACCTACCGTCCCTCCTCCTTTCCCTGGCAGAACAGTGCTGAACCTGATTGACATAGGCGCCACTTTCTCTCGCATCAAAGCAAGTGCAAATTCTGTTGAACGAGACGTTGACAGGGCGAACTTAACTGCCCCGAGTGGTTCAAGCAAGCCTGAAACCTCCAAGCCTAAATCCTCCCACATCCTTGGTCATGTATGCTCGCCTGATCCGGCCGGTGTCCCGCGAACTACCTCAGCATCCCTGTGCTCTACTAGCCTCCATAATGATTTTCCTGGTCCATCGCCTCCCTCCAGTGTCTCCCTTTCTCCCCTGGCGGGAGCACAGGGTTCCCACACTGGGGTACGACCATACTTTGGATAGTAGGGATATGCGGGGGGTTTCTCTTTGGGACGGGATACAGTCGAGAATATCCGTTGTCAGATGAAGAATCGCTGTAAAGGGTGGCGGCCTTTTGTGTCTGACTCGCGGTCATATCGGACGGCTTCGCAGGCGTGAGACATTCCCAGCATCAGCCGCCGTCAGCTGCGAACCGAATTGAACGCTGGCAGTATCTTCCTTCTCGATGCCATTAGCTTCGGGTCTCTTCTTCATGATAGTTGTCTTGAGCTCGATTCTCGAGAGCATCAACCTTCAACTCCAGCGCTGCAATCTTCTTAGCACAGACGTCTGTGGTGTCGGGCGTCGTGTTGGTAACAGCCAAGAGAGGCTGGGGCGCGCCGCCGACTGCCTCGGATTCAATGGGCTCTGTGTTGATCTCGTGAACTGTTGAATGAATTGTCAGCGTGGTATTTCAAAATGCACCGAAACTGTGCCTCTATTCTTGCTGAATTTCTGACCATACCGTCCTTGACCAGTTTAGTAATCTCGTCACCAGTCATGCCGGTGCCCAGAATGGCGCGAAGTGCGAGCTTGAGGGTACTCTAAAGCGTGACACATCAGCCGCTGTGACCATTCGGCAGAGAAGAAGCGGACTCACGCTATCAACAAGGGCCTCAGCTTGATTGACGAACGCTTGCGCCAGAGTTCTGTATTGCTGTTCGACATGGGAAGCGCCGAGATTCGAGTTGTTCGAGAGGAATTCAATCGGCTCGACTGATGAGAATTGGCATGAGCTCAGGAAGTTGGGATGCCTGACATGCGCCGAGGACAAGGACATGAAATCGTTGACAACTGAAGAAACGAATGGATGGAGGTCCTGACTAGTTGTGGTTGGAGATCGCTCAGAATAATAACTGCGCAGACACCAAGAACAAAATCAGTTTGCGGGTGGAAACTCTGTCAACGTTTTGGGTCTGTGGCGAGGAGGGTGGTTTCGCATGCTGACGGCACTGGGAGAGCACTGGTTCAAAACAATTCCTACACAGTACGGATCCGTACGCTCTTCCAGTACGACCTCTCTCAAGTTGACACTGTGATCGACCACTCCTTTCAGATTCTGTCCCATGCCAAGCTGCCAACAATGCCCACGCTCGAAAACTACATTCTCAAAGCAAGCCAAAGGTCCATGAACTTTCCCAGTTGTAAGTCCGCCCCGGTCCATAAATCTGCTTCTTGGTGCGATTCCACTCAGGACTAAGGCATCCAAACCGTTAGCGGACCCCCCCATGATGAGTATGAGAAGCATAAAAGAAACAGGGACGAAACTCACTGGTTAATTCCATCCGGCCAATCCTGTGCCTCAATCGCGATACAGCTGCTCCTGACCACCTTCTCATTCACCCCCTCAATGCCCTGCGTGCTCTTGAGATCAGCACTGCCATCCATCCAATTGCACGAATACAGCACCACGCCGGGTTGATCCGTCCTGAGCTCCGCCTTGACGCCTGAGAACGCGCTCCCGAGCGTCACGACGGGGGCGCCCCGGGGCGCACCCTCGATCAGCCAGTACCCGTTGTACCCCTCGCAGGCGCCGTTGGCGCCGCAGTTGCCTTCAAAGCCTGTCTGGTTGCGCGCGTGGCCGAGCAAAAGGCTGGGCGACGAGGCGAAGTCGTTGATGGAGCCCGGCGCGGCGGTCAGGATCTTGCCTGTGGGCAGCGCGCCTTGGTCGGCTTCGAGGTAGCGCTTGGAGAAGGGGAGGTAGAGGGTGTGGTCCCAGATCTTGGGGGTGGCAGGGTTGCGGTAGGCGTCGAGGTTGAAGTAGGTGTGCTGGGTCAAGAGGATGGCTGTGTTGCGGTGAGTAAGGGTGATGAATTACATGAGATACGAAAAGGAGGCTAACGCGTCTTTTGGTCCAGGGACTTGGCCGTCATCTTGATTTTCCAGGTCGACTTGCTCACCGAGTAGGTCACGCTCGATTTGACGTCGCCCAGCATGCCGAGCGACGAGTTGGATTTGTCCAGGATGGAGAAGGTGATCGAGTCCGACGAGAAGGCCGTCACGTTCCAGAAGCGGAACGACCAGTTGTTGGTGCCGCTGTGCAGCGTGTTCTCGCCGTCGTTCTTCTCGGTGTTGTACGTCACCCCGTCGATTTTGTACTGGCCCTTGCCGATGCGGTTGGCGTACCGCCCGGGAATGGCGTTGTACACCGGGTGGCTGGGGTCCTTGGCTGGAGTCGGGTCAGTTCGTGTTTCAAGTGCGCTGTCTGGGATAACGTTACTGACGATAGTAGCTAACATCGTCGTAGCCAAGCACCACATCTATGTCGTTGCCATTCTTGTCCTTGACAAAGAGGTTCGTCAGGGTGGCGCCATAGGGAATGAACTGCACATATCAGCTGGGCCAGGGATTCTGTGAGCACCCGGTCTTACCTGCGCCTTGATGCCCGGTGCAGAGATTGTGTACCGCCCATCTTTATCTGGCTCTGGGCGTTTTGGGGTAGCAAGGGCGACCTCGGCCACGGCGGCCACAGCGAGTAAGCTGAACCTCATCGTCACTTATGCCGGCTGATTTGGGGGTGGTTCGAAGAGAAGAATGGTCGGAACCAGGAAAAGAATTCTCCTCCCCTCCCCTTCCTCCTTCAGGTCATGCTGACATCTTATTATGCCCGATGAGCTGCTTCTCCGCACGCCAATTTTGTGACCGATGCTGACACTTTCCTTTGGAATCTCGATCCTTTGGTTTGCCAATACTCCGGATACAACCCCAGGTTGAAGGGGTAATCAACGAGGCCTTCCTGTTGGGTGTGATACCACCTTCACAGTCTTGGGAATGTGGGCCGTTAGGTTGATTGCGCGGTATATCAGGCTGAGTGCAGCCAGGAGTATGCGTTCAGGCGAACAACCCCCTCCGGATGTCATGCAGGAACCCTGTGAAGGCGGGATCGGCAGCTACCAATCGCAAGCTTCTAGGTAGACCAGGATTGTCATGGGGCTGTCTGCTGGTCTGCATTTGCCCCCTTTCGGAATCAACTTGCAGTCCTTACCTGCAGCTTGGCTTCGTATTGCTACTGACTTGTAGACCTGACAAGAGGCGGAACGGCCGGAATTGGTGGAATACGTACATAATTGGGTAAGACGGATCTTATAGCCCCGAATCCGTCGGTGCTATCACCCCAATTGTTGCCAGTCTTGGCCGGGGATGCCATTGCGACTGTACGAGGATGAGCAGGCAAGGCAGCCCTGAGCAACCAATTGAGGACGTCAAAGTCTTGTAGTTGATGTGATAGCAGTGTTTTGAAACGAAACCACAGGCCCTGTCAGGTAGTCAAATGTAAGAAGCTCTATTACATTAATACGGGAGAGGCTGTACGCGAGCAGCGCTCTGCCCGCGTCAAGAGTGCGCGAACGTTCGAACACGCTATCTAAGGTATATCTGTCCAACGCCCATATGCCGTCGTAAACACCATGCCCGCTCATCCAACATCAGCAGCTCAAGGACCGTTCGTACATGCTACGAGTCAAAGCCTACGCAATGCGCGCTCGCTCCCAAGTCGAAGCCTACGCAATGCGCGCTCGCTCCCAACTCCACGCTTCCACATTCAAATTATGCATCACTCCTCGAAAACCACCCCTACTCGTCCTTCTTCCCCTTGCCATTCTTTCCCTGAGGAATGGGATTCCCCTTCTCATCCACCAGCCCCTTCTCCCGCATGACGCGGAGGGCCTCGTGCAGGGGATCCAGCTCGGGCTGGGGAGCGCGGTGCGAGTTGAAGTAGCTGTCGGCCCAGGTGAAGTACTGGCCGTAGTTGACGGTGAAGTACATGTGGTGCAGGGTATGGTGGGCGGGACTGTTGATGTACTTCTCGAGCCAGTGGCCCGAGATCATGTCGCCGTCATGGATGAAGATGGTCCAGATCTGCACCAGGCCGAAGAGCACCATGTAGAGGTACTTTTGCACGGGGCAGATGAAGACGAAGACGCTGCGCGGCTGTTAGACGAGGTTTCTGAAGTGGAAGGATAACTGAGCATGGGACCAGGTGCTTACTGGTAGGGCAGCGACTGGACGTACCCGTCCAGCGGGTGGAAGGCGAGCGCGGCCCATGGCGTTGGCACTGAGACGCAGTTAGCAGAGTGGTCATGTGGCAACAGGGCAGAGAAACGCTTACCGATCCACTTGTGGTGCGGCTTGTGAATGTATTTGTAGACGCTGGGATGGTGCTCGAGGCGGTGGATCCAGTAAATCATGAAGTCGTTCCAGATCATGAACAGCACCGTCGAGACGACCATCCATGACCAGCCGTACTCATCGACGTTGGTGTACAGCAGGCTCTTGCCGCGCACCTCGGCCAGGAAAAAAGGCAGGGTCAGGATGTTGATGAAGGGCACGGCGCGCATGCTGGAGGCGATTTCTTGGGAGATTTGGTTCTAGCTCTGGAGTTAATCTTGATATTTAATTATACATGGCCATGGAAAGTCCTACCTTAAGGAACCTTGGATGGAACTCCAGCCGGCGGTCGAAAATGAGGAAATACGACAGCGCGCTGAAAATGAGGTACAGAGACGTGGCGCCAATCTGGGTGATGATCAAGATCGATATGCATTGGCGCACGATGTTGTCGCGAGCCCATGCTGACCCGGCTACGCCGCCGTCCGCATCCGAGAAGCTGTGCCGTAGCGCGGCATTTTCGGAGCCATTAACAGGACTTGCCGGCACAAGGGCCGCATATAGTGAATCGAGAAATAAATGATCTCCGATTTCCAATATCGCGTCCATGGTTTGGTTTGGTTGAGTGAGTCTGTCGCGTCAACTCATGGGATGCGAAAGTGCGTCTGTCGTGAAGTTGTCGAGGATGAACCCCAGGCAATTTCAAATTGGATGGTCGACCCACTGGTCCAGGGGCAGAAAAACCAGCTCCACTCTGGACCCTCGTTTGTGACCAGAGAGTGGCTCGACAGGAGTGGCATGTCGCGGAGCTCTGGTTTCCGTGTGGGGATCCTTGGCGGTGAACCATGAAGAAAATTTGATCCCTTTTGTTTCAAGCGAGGGCTGGCCGCAAGTGGCGGGATGTCTCTGACGGGTCGGCGACAACTATCAGCGAATTTCGAGATCTCCTGGTCGGACATGTACGGATACGGATTGCTCTCGAGCAACTGCCACACCGCAACACCTTGGATCATCAAGGGCCCTCAGAGGGACCTTGACGGACCCTGACGAGCCCCAGTCCCCGAGGTTCCCCTAGAATCGTCCGATCACGCGCCGTCCCATTGTGCGCGCGTCCATTTCGAGTTCGTCGTTCGACCCCCACCTGACTCTCCAAGTGTGCGACTCCACGCCATCTTGCCACTTTCGCAATCGCCGGCGCGGTGCCATATCCTGAACCATCCCGACTCCGCGTGCCGATACGGTGTTTGTTGACCGTCCATCGCAACCGCTGCAGGCCGAAATCGATGACATTGCCCTGGCCCCACCGAATCTGAATACAACCCCCGAGCGCGAGCACCCGACTACGCCGCTGATGCCCATTCATACGATATGCCTGCGCTGGCCTCGTCCGATTCCCTGCCATCCCACGAAGAAGACGCTGTCGCGGGGATTGTTCGAGTTTGAGGCTGGGCAGTGATATCGTGGCTGCTTCTGCTTCCGCCTTCCATCGCTTCCGCCGTAGATTCCCGCCCGTTGTCCTCGATAAGGTCGTAGGAATCCATTGTGTCTTCGAGGGCCTTTACTGGGCAATTGCGACATTGATTTCGGTGCAAGCGTTTTCTAGAGTCAGCCGGATTGGGCGTAAGAACAACAGCAGTTTGCTCGTTCCTGCCCAACGGCGACACAAACGGGTGCATGGCCGTAGGTCGATCGCGTGTTTGCTTATCTCCATTCTTTGCAAGAATGGACGTCTGTTGCTTCACAATCCTGGGGGGAATGCGGAAGGTGATGATGTGGGCATGACGTCTCCCCACCAACCACTGGGTTACCGTGTTGTTGGCTATGCTCATCCTCCATGCTTGCAACCCGCATAGCTGCTTGCAAGTCGAATCAATGCTGGTGAGGCCCCTCCCTTCCAGTAGTCCGGGGCGGCAGACTCGCGCTGCGCCTCTGATTTGTGTCTCATCCATGCTTCAGTGACACACAAAAGCCAACCATTGTCGACTGGGGACTGTGACAGCCGCTTATGCTATTTGTTAGAGTATGCAACACAGCAGCTTGCGTGTGCCAAATACCCGAAACACCTGTTGATGTGCGGCACCACTTAGGTGAGACCTGCTCACCTAATGCCCTTGCCGGAGCATGGGCTAATCCTATCTTCCGCTAGCGCCGACAAGCCGTTTCCCCTTGAGTCGTGTTTTCAGTGTCCGTTGACATCACTCTTCTTTGTCACTAACCTGATAAATAGCAAGAGTCTATAATCTGTGGCTCATTGTGACCGAAGCACTGCTACACTTTGGTTCATCTCAGCCGATGAAATCCTACACTAGAGAGCTCTTATATTTCAACCATGCAACGTCCCAGGCTCCTCTTAGACCTGCTTCATGTTGGCGTCCGCCTCTCAGTCACGTCCATCTCCGTCCACCTCCTCGTCTCCCTCAACCACAGCTGAGCCCGCCCCGGAGCAAACCCCCTCGAAGTCCTTGACCGGACTCAAAATCTCGGCTGACAAGATTCTGCCCAATGACTCTTGGAAATATCGAGACAGTCCCTCCTTATCTGTGTGAAGAGCACACTCAAGAAGCCAACCGGACTTGACCCAAACTCGCAAGCCTCATACTCTTGCCCACCTGCCCTCCCCACAAACCCATCTGCGCCACATCCCTCTCGCCTTCATTGGGGGTGTAGGCGAGCCCAAGGTATAATGCGAGTTGGACATACTCGCCAAAATTTTGGAGATACAGGCCCCCAGCAAACAGCTTCAACTGGAGCAGTAGCTCTGGCGGGGGGCGCGGGGGCGGCTGCGCATCCTCGCCAGCATCCGGAAAGACGTACGTCGACAGATCTTCCATCGAACAGTAGGACATGCTCGTGTGTGGGAGGTATGCGCGTAGCTGGCCGAGAACCGAGTCACTGTTGGGGTTTGGTTCTTGCTCGAGCAGCAGCTGCTTGGGACGTTCTGCCTCATACGGGCTGACAATCACCATTCGCATGCCGTGCGCGGCAGCCGGGCAGGACTGTGTCAAAATCCATTGGACTGGGCGCTGGTAAGCGTCCAGGCGCGAGGAGTTGTCGCGGATAATGCGAGCAAAGTCGACGGTCACGAGGAGGCTGCTGGGAAAGTTCTTCACCGGGAACAATGCCGCTGCGCTCGTGTTGGCCAGAGACTGAAAGGCGGGCATGAAGGCGGATTTTGCCGAGTTGTTGTTCAATAAGACCCCGTCCACAGCAAAACTCATGACGTCTGCGTGGAGGTTGTGCGAGGCGGGCTGTTTCCTGGGTGGCCTCTCAACCTGACGCTCACGCTCGACCTCTGGGGCCAGTTCACGCTCCTGTTCTTCTTGTGCATGGAGTCGAGGTTTGCGAGGCCAATTTCATCGCATTTCGCCTTGATCTGCGAAACTTGGATTTGCCTGGAGGTGAGTTTTGTGGCCGCCTTGAGCTTCGAGGTGAGGCTCTGGTTGTTGATGGAGCTGCTCGCCTCCGACTCGGGACGATACCTTTGCTCCAATGACTGCGTCTCGTTTTCTAAGTAGTCTTGAACGTGCTGGGCAGAAAGTTCCCCATCCTTTGCCACTCGCTCCCACACGGTTTCTTGCTGCTGATGGCGGATGCCTTGGGCCGCCCAGAGAGGAATGCTCCGGTGCGCGTCGTCCCACGTTTCGACGATGGCCCAAACCAGGACGTCGGAAACAGTGAGCGGGCGTGATTCCTCAAGTTTCGTGAAACTGCGAAGCCGTTTGGCCATCTCGGGTGAGACACAGAACGTGACAGACTGCCCAGACCCGAGCTTGCGCATCCTCATACAGGCCTGAACAAGCGTGTCCTTCGTCACCGCCGGTCCAAGAGTGACTGCCGCGCGGTACGGATCCGGAAGCTTGAGGTCGGTTCCTCTGGTGTGTGCCTGATCCAGAAAGACGAGGCAGCGGCCCGTTTTAGTTGCGAACGGGGACGTCAGGAATGAATCGACGGCGCCGGCCCGAGTTAAAACAGCAAGCTCATCATCATTGAAGAAGATGACGGCGTCTGCATCCCCTGCCGGAGTCAGCTCCAACCAGCGCTGCGCGAACCCGTAATTGCTGAGCTCGACAATTTGTGCTCCTACATCGAGGACCACGCGCATTGGCCGGCTCGAGGCGGTTTGGGTCACAGCGGTTAATAACATATCCGCTGTCGAGGCCGACAGTTGATCCTGGTCACCGCCGAGTTCCAGAACCGTGTTCTCCGTCCGGAGGAGGCAGGCGAGGACCGTCGCATTGGTGTGCCGCTGCTCGGGCAGGTCGAGTGCCGTTACGGAGAGCGACAGCACGTATTTAGAGTCAGTTGTGCCACTGAATCCGGTCAGGAGGTGACGCTTGGCTTTTTCGAGATCCCAGCCACTCGCCGATAGCTTGTAGGGAAATTCCCGCATCTCGCGTGGGAAGACGACGGTAGAGAGGTAGAAGTCGATTGCTGGCTTCGCGTATCGCAGGGACGGGAAGACGCTCTGTTTGCAGAGAGCAGTGTCCCGGAGATTGACACCGGAGAAGTGGCTCTGGGACGACGGGAGCTTTGGCGATGCTGCTGCCCATCTGCCGTATTCCTGATCTGCTTGATCGGACTTGCTCAGCTTCTCTAAGCAGGTGCGCAGCTCACCATTTGACAGGCCTTGATAGTAGTAGCTCAGACATGTCAGAACAATGACGACGTCTGGGTGGCTGAACTCAGAGCGTGGTGCCGGTGAATCTTTCGCCCTGTACGGCACCGCGAGCATGGTGGGAGGCCGTCGATCAGGAGCGAAACCATAATTCACACGGAACCTCTTGGCCAGTGCAAAAAGGACGACGTTGTTGGCCAGCAATCATCGCAGTAGAAGCAACGTGTTCTTCATCATTGTCTCGCTGAACAACCCACTGCTGTCGTTTTGGACCGCAGCAATCTGAGCAGCAGACAGGTTTGGCTGAAGGATGTAGTCCACGACCGCTGTTCGCCGGCTGATCGATTGATGGTGAATCGGAAAACCCTTGAGGCCCACGCAGCACACATGCTCAGCAACGTCACTAACCAGACGCTTGCTGGCTGATTCCTCCAGAACTCGAATGATTGGAAAGCGCCCGCTGCCCCGATCACCCTCAAAAAGCAGCCCTTTCACATCCGCCTCTGCATGTCTCCGTGCCGGGTCCTCGGCCACGTCGAGCACAACGCCCATGAGCTCCTGGATAAGTTTCCACCGGTCTGGGCTCATGTCAATGGGTCGTTGGGTGCCCGTCGTATAGATCAGCTCGAACTTGACGCTGAAATTCTCGTGGCTTTCGTCCACGATGTCCCGAAACATGTCTTCCATATGGTTGTAAGTAGTGACGATCTGTTTGCTCAGTGCTCCGGCACCGTTGCCGTCTGCCCAGGTGCTCTCCAGGGCCATCAGCTTCATCGAAGCCAAGTGTTCCGGCGAAACCATAAACACACGCCGTGGTTCCTGCATGTCGCGAGCATGCGGTTGATGACCTCGACATCGGAGCTCTTCAGCTGGAGTGATCTGGATATTGGCAGGTAGAACACTTGACAGTTGATCAGACCGCCCAGGGTGGCGATGAGCGTGTGCGCTAACTGGTTTGACTGGGCTTTTGCAACTACGACCCGGACAAGACGCTTCCCGTCTGCAAGGGCTGCAAATACCATGGGAACAATGACTGAAGATTTGCCTTCACCCATGTTTAGCTGAAGCGCCATGCCCTCCCCTCCTGGAGTATGCCTCATGTGAGCCGCAATGTTGCTTTGAACAGGCCGGATCAAAATTCCCTGTTCCAGCTCAAGCAGAACAGTCTCCGGGAAGACTAGGGGTTCGCCTTCGCCGCATTCGTGGCTGCCCATGTTCGACAGTTCCTTCAGAAAGTCTGTTCGACAGTCAGGGCGTTGAAGGGCATTGATGAGACGCTCAGCCCGCTGCAGGTTAAGCATAGATAGAGCGTAGTTGATCCGGCATACGCGCCAGTCGGCCGGCAGATTGTTCCAAAAGACTCGGCTGAGACGTTGGAGCAGGAAGATTGGGGAGATGCGAGGGTATAATAGGGCGCCTTGGCCGACTTCCTCAGCGACGGATTTCCCTCCCAGTGTGTCGCCGATGCTCCTGCGAATTTTGCTCGTCGCCTGTTTACAACTGGTGAGATACTCTTCAAAGGCAGCCTCCAACTCAGAAGTACCTTCTCTCAGCCGAATACGAGGGCTGGCAGAGTTGACAGAACTGACAGAGCTTGACCGCAGCTCGTTGATGTATGCAACCTGTACGGTTTCTGATCGCACAACTGAAAAAGCCGATCAAGAAGACCGGTCAATGGGTTAGTATCCCCGGCTGCATCCGTCACTTTGTCCAAGAGGTGGCTGAAGTTCTGCGGCTGAGGACGTTTTGTTGACGGGGCTGGTCTGGAGACGCCCTTGAAGTTTGTTCCTCCAGCCCCAGAGACGTGGAAGTTTCGTCTGAGTTGGAAGCATCTTGATCATCTTTCCACGAGAACAAGGACATCTGTCCCAGTTCCGAAACAAGGCTGTCCAGGTATCTCTCAAAGGCTGATGTCCTCCTGGCAAGTTCCAAGGCTTCCCGAACTTTGGCCATGATGCTGTCAACGTCAAAGTACCGGCGATAGTCCTGGCTGGTAAGTGTCGAAACCGTCCAGGCCTGACGCCACTGAGTTTCCAGGTCGGAGACAAAGCTCTTTGCCGTCTTATTCGACTCTGATTTCCATGTCAGATACCGCCTCTGGGAAACAGCGCTCTTTGACTCGTGAGATTTCTTCCGAATATTGGCCTCCGGGCAATTTTCGAAGGGATGCAGATATTGCTCGACGATTTTGTCCATCCTTTGCCGCATCGACGAGACATTGTACTCTAGATCGAAGTGATCTTCGCTTGGGGGCGTGATCCTGGTCTGAAAGACGCTGGGGGAATTGGCAAAGGCCAAGAATGCGATCTTGTACTTGTTGCGCTCTGCGAATGGTGCCCTGTGAAGTCCGCACCAGAGACCAATCAGGCACATTTCTGGAGGTTGGAGGTAATCGAGCGTAAAGCTCAAGTCGACTTGAGGGCGCCCGGGGAAGCTCTTCCCAGTGACCTCGAGGATGGATTGTTTCGCCCAGGCTGATGGCAGTTCCAGGAGCTGCTTATGGCCCGACACAACGGCCTTTGTAACCATTTTGACCCTGGTAAATGCCTCCGTGACATGTCCTTCCTTGCGGTGCCGTCCCAGGTACTGGCGGTCAAAGTTCGTGGTGTAGTCTTCCGCCCCAAACTCTGAGACTCGGAACATGGCGTTCCGGATCTTCGCCCGGTCCACCAACAGGGTAGACGACCGCTCGAGAGGGGCAAACTTTGTTGAAGCTCCACGATTGTCATCGGGGGGATGGAAAATCTCGCAGTCTCGAGCATGCCTAAGGATTGCCTCGACGGCTGGCCAGAAACCATCATGTTGGGCCAGGACAGGAAGCTCGGACGACCAGTTCACTTGCTCCATAACCTGCAGGTGTGTCGGATAGAATTTCGTCGCGGGGATAACTTCGCGATCATGCGCAACAAGTCATGAGATTCTGTGTCCAACCGCTGGAAAGAGCGAACTGAGGCAGACTGCAGAATCCTCAGGGCTTCTTCGGTGCCGATTCTCCCGGTGAGAGGGTCAGGAAGGAAATGGGCCGTTAGGGAAATGCAGGTAACACAAGTAGAGCTTGCTGGAGAGTGACCCGCCGCTTGTGATGCGGCCGAGTGTTGGATCCACCGAGAAGGCGTCGTGCTTGACGTGCAATGCTGAAGATTGATCGACAGTGACGCTGACATGGTAGCCGACCGGCCGTGAAGACAGGGTTTCTCGAAGCACCAGGACCAATCTCTGCAGCGTACAAGATGCTGAAACGCCCTCGCGCTTGAGCACAAGCTTGTTCTGAAGTCCAACCAATGCACCAATGCTTTGGCATTCGTCGATGCACATGCCTGAATAGTGCTTGGACCGGATGCTGGACTCGCCCTCGGCCAATGTAAACGAGATGGAGAATCTGGACAACTCTAGGGCCAGAACACGGCTAGCTGATTGGAAGATCATGTCCACATTGCTCGTATCTTCGATGGGGCTTAGATAGGTCGAGATAGCCTCTGCGGTTAGGCTGTGTGGATTGATCAGGTACTGCCCCTGCCCGCGACGTGAAAGGATGTTGCGGCCACCGTCCCGTGTCAAAATCCAGTTGTCCGGTGATGATGCCCAGGGCTCGTTCACCGGTCGGAACTCGACTGCCCCCGTCGAAAGGTTCATCCAGTGCGAATAGTTCCGGGCGAATGAAGCCGGTACGTCACCCTCCAACTTCCACGGTTGGGATGAACTCGCAGACCTCAGCCGACGAGCCCTCTTTGACTGGCGAGGCATCTGCCCCACGTACGGCTTGTATCACCAGCTCGCCGTCCGTCAAGACAAAGTGCACAATCCATCCTTGCTGGTCCCGGCAGGCCGAGAACCTCTGGCCACGGCGCGTGGAGGGCATGACTTCCAGCACATGTGCCCCGAACAGTTGAGTGTAAGCTCTGTTCGATTGGTATTCATCCGGGAGACGGGACAGGGGGTACCCGTCAACAAGGAGACGGCCTTCCAGGAGGTTGAGAGTGATAGAGATGGGGCTCCCACCTTGTCTGACCATGGTGGCGGCCAGAGTGTGAGCTTGAACGCCGGATTGAGCTGACCACTGCGCAGCCGACGGCGAGTAGTCTGCCCAAACCGCCGAATGGCGTCATCAAGCCTGCGTTTTTCAGCTCGACGACCTCTTTCTTGACAAACCCCATTGACCTGTGCATGATCCTATGCCATCGCTGCAGCAACAGAGTCAAGACGGGAGTTGACGCTGCTCCTTCAGCAGGCCGGTGATCATAGACCATAATAGTGGACTCGACAAGAGCGCCAAGGTCGCCCCGAGAATGGATAATGACTTCCAGGTGGTCTGACCCGACGTCAAAGGTCGACGTACAAGTCACCGCCACCATCAGCACCCTTTGGGTTAACTCTTCCTGCCCCTTTTCGGTACCGCAATTCGCCCGCCTGGCCAGGAGGTGCCTAGCCCATTTGATTGTCACGACCCTGGCTTGGGACAGGAACGCCAACAGCCCGTCCACGAGAGGCCGTGACGTGGCCATCGACAACACCTTCGTTGCGATGCATATCAAGAGACTGACAGCCACGTCGTTTTGCCAGTTCTCACAATACCGACGAAGAGAATCGTTCAGAGCGGCAACCAGATTGCGGACAAACTTGGCGTTCGAAAGATCCGCGTGGGCTTGCCGGAAGACCAAATTGAACTTGGTGTATGGTCCTGCCTCAAGGCATACCTGTAACACCAGCCAATAAGTCGACTCCTGATACCAGTCCAACGAGGGGGCTTTTAGCTGACAGAGCACGTTCGGCCATTGAAGGTGGCAACCAGAACGGATATGGCCGAAGGCCCGGAACGCCTCAAGAGACATGTCCGGTGGACAGCCAGACTGGGCTGCGATGACTTGGTTGGATGTATGCTCAGTCGATCGTGTCCAGGTGCTCATGAATCCCTGCTGCTGATGTTTAGCGAAGGAGCATTTGGTAGGAACATGAGGCTCTTGAAACAGCTCGTCGCTGGAAACAGAGTCTGGCTGATAATAGTACTCAGTGGTGCCAGCCATGCCACACGCAAACATCGGCCTCGGTCACCGCGTTGATATGGCTGGGGCGGTAATGACTTGCTTCGACTGGTTTGACGGTAGACGCCAGCTGAACTTGGCTTGTCCTCGGTTGATAGACCTTCAAACCGGAGTGGTCTGCTGCAAACCAAAGCCGGTTCACTCCCTGAAGCTTTCCCGGTCTCTGAAAATGCTATGAAAGAGATCTGCCGTCACGTCCCGCCACATGGCGACGATATCCGTGACCCAAATCTCAAAGACAATGGCCTGCGCGAGAATGCGATCGGTGGGCAAAGGTCACTCGAACTTGTTGATGTTCAACGCAGACATCTGGGATTGCAGTCGACACGCCTCGCAGCCGGACGCGGAGATCATCCTCTTCTGCCGATTGCACCACTTCTCAGAGTGTGGCGCTGAGGCTCTCCGGCTGGACAGCTCAGCATATTCACTGCGCATCGTGTGATACTCTTGCACTTTCTTGGCAGCGTTGCTCTCGGCTTGGCCCTTGATCTCCTCGTAGAGGCTTTGGTGCTCAGGGGACGAGTTGAAATAACGGACCGCAAACGACCCCTGCCGCCCAAAGTTCGCGAATGCCAATGGATAATCGCCGGCAGCACTGTCTCTCCGGTCGTATATGTAAGATTCAATCGCGACCAAGCGGACCATTTGCTTGTGGGTGGAAAGAATCAAGGGGTCGAGCAAACCGTGATAACCAAATCCAGGGTTGTATTCCAGCAGCAAGGGGCACGATTTCCCCCGTGATCTTGTCCAAGGCGATGTAAAGCTCCATGATGACCAAGTTCATCAGCGAAAGCGCCTCTGAATTTCCTTGGTGGATGCGACTGGCTTGTTTGAAGTATTGGGAGATCAGCTGTTGTAATTTCCCGGTGTCCTTGACGGCCTGAAGATGGCCATCGTCGACATCACGCTGAACCCGCGTGGCGACCCACGAAGACAGGTTCAGCTCAATCCACGACTCCAGCTCGACGAGCCAAAAAGGTTCCAGGTCGCCGACGGACTGAAGGCCGGGAATGGCAGGCAAGACATCCGCCGAGACTCTGAAGAACATGGAGTTGTCACCGGGCCCAGCGGTGCCTTGATCGGTCGTATTGGAGCGGGAATCCACTCCAGGTGTCCGCTCAACTTCTGGAGGCGAAGGTTCGTGTCGGACTCAAAACAGAGGGTTTGAAGACGGCCCGCTGGGATGGCTACAGGAGTATTCTTGGTCTGCTCCTTCTGCCAACGTCGCTGGAGCGTCCCTTGATTTGCTGTGAGGACGTTCCTCACTGTGCGAAACCAGGGAAGGTTCTCATGAGGACTGAGCTTCATAATCCGCCTGACAAATTTGGATGCCATGGCAAACCGCAAATCGCTATCCAGGCCGAGCTGGGCGGCCTGCTCAAGCAGGCGAGCGTGGTGAAACGTGAGGAAAGCCTTGTATAAGGACGGAAAATTGTTGCGATCCAAGACTAAGCGCACAGCGACGCGCAACAGCATCCATGTGGGCGACCGGTGCCAGGACAACAGCGTACTGTCCCAGCTAACTTGCTCGCGGCTCCTCTTGGCGACACGGCGGGGGGTGACGCTCCGCCCAAGGCTGATGAGAGTGGCAAGAACCATACTGCTGAGAAGGAGCGGGGAGCTGGTGTCTCTGGATTCATCGAATTTCTGGTCAAACTTCGACGACTTTGGGCGAGCCTGTGGCGAGTCTTGAAGCTCCAAGCAGCGGAGAACGTCGACGAACTCGCTGAGGAAGAGGGGGTCGAGCACCGTTTTACGGCAAACCGTCGCAGCGCAGTCAGGAAACTCCCGGACCAGGCGGCCTTTGCAGCCCATCATGTCCCCATTGCGGGCCAGGAGCTCGAAGGGCTCGACCAAGATGTCTTCTTGTCCAAGACACGTCAGGATAAGGCCAGCGTTCTGGGCTCGGATATGGAAAAGTGCAACCTCTGGCAAGTTTTGTGTAAGCAGCCGGGCAATAGAAACTAGACTTAGAGGCAGGGCAAGTGCGTGGGAGGTGGGAGAAATGTGGATAAGTTCAGGGCTGGCTCTGCCTAGAGGCATGTGATCGACTCTTTTCCGGCGAGCCAAAATGCGATGAGAAGATGCTCAGAAGAAATTACATACCGCCGTCGTCAAGTTCCTGAATGACTTTTTTCATAGAGGTTCCCTTTGTGGCGCTGTCCAGTCCTGGCTTCACCTTCAGGAGCCTCTCGAGCATCGCAATGACTGGCCAAAGTTGCTGAGGTTCCGCTGCTGAGCATTCCCTGGAAAACTGCCGCGTTGACTTGAGAAGAGAAGCGATGAGGTTGAGCTCTTCCTCAATGCTTGCATCGTCTTTCTGGGGCGCCTTCGGGGGCAAGAAAACGTGGTTGATCGCATATTTGAGCGACTCTACTGCGACCGACGCAGCGCGAGAATCGGCAGTACCTGGAGCCATCTTCGGCAACGAAAGCGACGGGTAAAACTTGGGGGTGTGGCTCAATGTTGTCAAGTGGTCAAGAGCAAGCTGGAAGTGTAGAGTGCGAGAGGTACGAGAAGTGAAATTGATGGTTGAATGAAGAAGAGGTGTAATGAAGCGGAAGATCCAGCAAAAGTTGGCCGGTTTTTTGGGTAAAACAAGGCAAACGATCAATCCTGGCAAACACTTAGAATCTGATTCTCAATTGCCTCATGGTCTTTCATCTGAGTCCAACCTGATTGTACTCGCTCGGCATCTTTCGTGCTCAACTGGCAACAGCCAATACATCTGTCGTTTGTATCCCTCTCAAACACGCACGCTTGCACTTTCCCACCGCATTTCTACAGCGGCACGTCGGGAAGGATACAACCAAGGCTGGATCAGAGGGCATATGTGAGGCGGTTGATTGTGCTGTCTCCGTCCTCAAGCAGACTGCGCTTACGAGTTGCTCTCGTCACTCTGCAACATGACGAAGCCCTATGGACTAATAAGCACCTGGACCATGCACAGGAGCTTGCAATCGCCCTCGTCTTCTGGTCCTAGAAAAGGCATCACTCCTGCATGATGCCGACGGCTGACAATCAAAGTTACCTGGTAGGTGAGAAACGCCCGTAACGGCCGTCGCGGTGTCCCCTTCTGTATTTACTGCCAACCTTTGTGTCTATGAAGTGTTAGCGATGAGCTAAGTGAAAGAAAAGAAATAAACAGCCCGGATTATACGTATGTATCTTGCCTAAAGGTACCTTACATAGCCGCGTCAAACCAGCATCGTGCTTCTGGTTGGTGACGGAAGAGTAATTATTAAGATTGCCCACGAAACTGGCTTCATCTTCGGGTTATTGGGTTGATATGTGGGAGCTTCCCAGCAAATGGCCAGGTCACACCAGCACATTACCTTCAATTATGCTGCACCCAGCACATGCGAGCTCCCTCTCGCAAGCGGCTCAGGTCGCAACCTTCACACATGGCTGCGTTGTTCACATGCAAATTGACGAATCAAGTAAAGGGCAGCTCGGGCCTGGGAGCCCATGGATACATGCGTGTAGGGGAAAGGCGCTAAGCTGGCTGAACAGGGCTCAGAAGATTGGCGCCCTAGCAATCACAGGAGCCTTTCGGACCGTAGCTACGGCTGTAGCAGAAGCCGAAGCGAGCATTCTCTCCATACAAGAACGACACACCCGGGCGGCAGCCAGACTATGGATCAACATTCAGACATTGCCTGGGACTCATCCCCTAGCCTGCAAGAAAATCCGGACAACAACACGATTCGTCTCCCCGCTTCAGAAGATCGCCAGTATCGCGGAAGGTGTAAAAGTCGATCAAATGGAAACAATCCAAGAATACGCCATCGCTCCCTGGGCACCTCGCCTACAGCCGACGATCGA